TGAGGCTCTTTTAGGTAGCAAGCTTCAGAACAATTAATGAAAATATTTACATCACATATTTCAATGAGAAGAAAATAACAGCTTACACGTGCCATGGTTTTACATCTGCAAAAACTGATGCATCCTCCTTGAGGTTCCTCCACTGAAGAACAAAGTACATTCAGAGCTGTGAGAGGAAAAAGACATCATGAGAAAAGGCATGCTTTAGTTACCATGTAACAAATTAAACTTTCTGTTACTCCATTCTATTTTGAATAATACTGCCTACTATACATACACACACAATTTGATAAGATTAGAAGGACTTTATATAAATCCAAACTCTCCCCCAATTTCCAAAAAACCCAGACACTTGAGCATGTATATTCTGGCCAGTACTTCATTTTGGGGAAGCTCCTCTCCATAAGATTGGGCTGCTCAGTCTTGTCCTGAACAGATCTTCTTTCCTTCAATCATACATTCCGGATTGAACAGGAGCCACACCATCCAAACCGCATCTTACTTTATGGCATTAGGATCAGGTGAGGTTGAAAAGGGTAGAAAGGACATAGATTTGGTCAGGCAGTGTTCAACATTCTAATTCCAGAAGAACTGCTTAAATATGCTATAAAATATCCATGTAATAAAATGTTAAGTAGGGAAAAACATTGAGGACATAGAAAATATTCCAAAAATACTGTCTGTAGAAAAATCAGGTTATAAAATCATAACTACCACATGATACTATTTGTAAAATATTTGTATATCTCCAAATTCAGACCATCAAGTTGAAGAAGACAGAAAAAGTTATATACTCGTACATTAACCGTCTTTTTGTTTTGATCTTGAGATTTTTTAATTTATTCAACAGTCATGCCTTAACTTAAAAGATATATGCACAAGAATATTGTTATATGCTAAGTGGAAGCTGTTCTCCAAAAAGTGAAAAGTTCATTTTTTAAAAAAACAGTTTTTACTTGGTCTTACAGAAATAAAACTAAATTTGGATTGTTTTACTAAATGGTCTGTTTCCTTCAGTTCCCACTACCACAAATTCCTCTAAAATTTCTATGTAAATCACACATTGGATTATTGTCTAAAAAGATGAGTAAAGCCCCTGAGTATAGTCTAAAATATACTGATGCTGGTCTCACATCTATATCCTCTTCCAAGTTTTTTTCTTTACAGAAATATTTCCCACCCGATTAGTCATGTCCTCCAGAAAGCTGCTGAATTATCTTATCCTATCAGTTTCATTTAGCATCTCACAACATCAGAATAAAAAAATACAACGTTACCACATGACGCACCAATTCCACTCCAGGTGTCTACTCAGATAATAAAAAACATATATTCACAAAAGGACTTGTACACAAATATTTTCTAATAGTTAAAAAGTGGAAACAACCCAATGCATATCAACTGATGGATAAACAAAATGTTGTCACATGCATCCAAAGGAATATTATGCAGTCATAAAAATAAAGGGAATTTTGATGTGTGCTACAACATGGGTCAACATTGAAAATAATATGCTAACTGAAATAAGCTAGTCACAAAAGGACAAATAAATTCTTCTTATATGAGGTAGTCAGAGTAGTAAAGACAGAAAGTAGAATGTTGGTTGCCAGGGGCTGGGAGAGAGGGGAAGGAGGAATGAGTGTTTAATGGGTATACAGTTTCAGTTGGAGAAGATGAAAAACTTCTGGAGATGGATGGTGGTGATGATTGCATGGCAATGTAAATGAGCTTATTGCCATAGAACCATATACTTAAAAATGGTTAAAATAGCAAGTTTTAAGTATATGATACATTTACTACAAGAAAAAAGGAATAAAGTACCAATACATCTATATAGATGAAACGTGAAAACATTATACTAAGTGAAAAAAGCCAGAGATAAAATGATACATATTGTGTAATTCCATTTACATGAAATGTTGAGAATAAGCATATCCATAGAGAAAAAAAGTAGATTAGTGGTTGCCAGAGTATGGGGAGAGGAGGGAATAGGGAGTGACAGCTAATGAGCACGGGCTTCTTGGGGGGGGGGGTAGCAAAAATGTTCTGGAATTAGATAGTAGTGCTAATTGTAAAATTTTGTGAATATACTTAAAAATACAGAACTGTATACTTTACAAAGGTGAATTTTATGATAGTGAGTTATATCTCAATAAAAGTTAGGTATAAATTTACAATACTGAGTTATTTACCATCACAATTCTTTCATATTAGGTCACCAAAATGTAATCATAAGCTAACAGTGATAGCCACAGTCAGAATAAAATCATTGCCTTATAAGATCCAAGTCATATTACCTGAATTTCCAGAGTGGTTTTTAATGCATTTACTCCTATTCAGGGGTTACCTTAGTTACCAGAAGCAACATAAAAGTAGCAACTAAATCATTTTAATCTTTGTATCACCCCTAAATACTAAAACTGCCGGCCTGGCATATCATAGGCAGTTAGTTAAGTCTGATTGTTTTAGCCCAGATTCTACTTCTAGGCATTTATCTTAAGGTGGTAGTTATAGAAATACAAAAAATGCATTTGCAAATTAAATCAGAGAATGTATTAGAAGAATGTCTGGTATAAAATAGATGTGCAGGGCTGAGTGCAGTGGGTCATGCCTATAATCCCAGCACTTTGGGAGGCTGAGGCAGGAGGATTGCTTGAGCCCAGGAGTTTGAGACCAGCCTCGGCAACACAGCAAAACTGTGTCTCTACAAAAAAAAAAAAAAAAATTAGCTGTGTGTGGTAGTGTACATCTGTAGTACCAGCTACTCAGGAGGCTGAGGCAGGATTGCCTGAGCCCAGGAGTTTGAGGCTGTGATGAGTCGTGATCATGTCACTGTACTCCAGCCTGGGTGACAGAGTGAGTTACCAAATTAAAAAAAAAAAAAAGATGTGCAATAAACTTAGCCACATGACTCATCTTCTTTATAAACAATTAAAATATTATGTTGGATACCATCTTGCAAAATGCCTCACAAAACAATCTTGTGAAGGGGGATTGATATTTAATTTTTTTAAGTATTACTTAATATAAATGTCAATACTATTATAAATGTGGCTGGCATAGTAGCTCAGGTCTGCAATCCCAGAGCTTTGGGAGACCAAGGTGGAAGGATCACTTGAGTCCAGGAGTTCAAGGTTACAGTGAGCTGTAATCATGCCACTGTACCCCAGTCTGGGTGACAAAAGGAGACCCTGTCTCTAAAAAATAAAAAACAAAAAAACAAACAAAATAAAGTGAATATTGCTTAACATCACACACTGTACATTTTCTTTCATGTCTAACTCTACATAAATGTAATTTTATTAGCTGCATAATATTCAGTCATATGGGTTAATCATTTCCTTAATCAGTTCCATAATCCTGAACAAATAATCATAAATAAGAAAATCATTCTTAGCCGGGCTCAGTGGCTCAGCCTGTAATCCCTCGCTTTGGGAGGCTGAGGTGAGTGAATTGCCTGAGCCTGAGGGTTCGAGACTCGCCTGGGCAACTTGGCGAGACCTCATCTCTACAATAAATCAAAAATTAGCTGGGCGTGGTAGCACGCGCCTGTAGTTCCAGCTACTTGGAAGCCTGAGGTGGAAGGATCACCAGAGCCCAGCAGGTGGAGGTCCAGGCCACCGCACTCCAGTCTGGGCGACAGAGTGAGACTCCAACTCAAAAAAAAAACAAAACAGAAAATCGTTCTTGATTCTTAACCAAAGGATGTAAATATTTTGTGGTTCTGTTTACATTAAGAGAACACATGAAAGGATTTGAATGATATGAGAAAGAAATATTAGAAGGTGAAGGAAATCCAGCTCAGTGGCACCCAACATCCGCTGAAAAGAAGACAAATTACTGTTAGGACATTCAGACACATTTCAGATGAAGAAATGCATGCCCCCAAACCAACAATTTTATTAACTAGCCTAAACCATGTTTAGGTGAGAAACACTTCTTTCCTCTTCATCAGAGTCCTTCTTTTGGGGAATGGCAGCACTCCAAAGGGAGAAGGCACAGAATGCTCCTTACACACCAACCTCCACCCCTGTCCTGCTCACACTTAAACAGATGGATGGAGATTGGAGGGAGGCTGGAATCTGGGAGGTATGAGTTCACAATAGGCTCCTTGGGGGTTCTGAGACACGTAGCTGGTCAGAGCTCACAAACAACAGCCTCCCAGGCGTTCCCAATATCATAGTAAGCCAATGCCTTCTTGCTGTAAAATTTCCCAATCTCACAGCAAGTCGATGCCTTCTTGCTGGAAAACGTCATTTAGGGTTCAGTATCCGACTTTCCGGCTGGGAGGAGAGAGGGTGGAGGGAAGGAGCAGGAAACCTCCAGTCAGGAGTCCCAGTGACACCCAGTGTGAGCAGGGCCGGTGTGGGAGGATGTGTAAGGAGCATTCTGTGCCTTCTCCCTTTCAAGAGCTGCCATTCCCCCAAAGAAGGACTCTGATGAAGAAGAAAGAAGTGTTTCTCATCTAAAAATCACGGTTTAGGATACTTAATAAGACTGTTGGTTTTAGGGCATGCATTTCTTCGTCTGAAATGTGTCTGAAAGTTCTAATAGTCATTTGCTTTCTTTTCAGTGGATGCTGGGTGCCACTGAGCTGAATCTCCTTCACATTCTTCACAGCCATCACGCACATGTAAAGGACAAACCCCTCATATTCGCGTCACGCGGGCACAGCCACTCACCTGTCACGGCCTCACAGACGCACCCACCGTCAAGGAGGCACATCACAGCGCTCCTCCTCTCACATACACACGTACACACTCTCACACAGCCCCCACCCGACACATACAACATTCTCCCACGTACACAAACAGCTTCCTCTGCTGTTCACGCACCCACAGGCCTGAGATTCCGATAACGACCGGTCCATCACGCAGCGGCCTAAGGGCTTCCTCCATCACCCTGACCGGTTCAGGCCGAGCTCCACTCGAACCCGGCTGCCCAAAGCCCCGACAGCGCGCACCCGGTGCCTCTTATATCCTGAAATGAGTCCGGCTCACCTTGCAAAGCACAAGAACCACGCGAAAACGGAAAGGAAGCCATAGAGCGCGTGTGCCCGTTGCCTTCTGGGAAATGTAGTTCAAGCTTGACTATCCGTGACCGCGGTGGCTTGTGGGAAAAGTGGCGCGGCGGCCCCAAATCCTTGGTCCAGCACTCCCCCGCCTCAAGAGCCACCCAACGCTGGCTTCCGGGGAGCTTAGTCTTCGTTCTGCTCGGAGTGCAAAGACGCTAGGGCGTGTTGCGCTGGCAGAGACAGCTGAGGCGAAGACGTGTGTGATGCGTCCTCGGAGTCCAGAAGGAACCATTGGACGCAGACTGAGCGGGGGAATCCGGAACCCGGACGGCCGGAAGCCAGAGGCTGGTACGTGCGGAGCCCGCGCGGCTGGGTCAGTGTTGTGGCCGCCGGGGCCAGCGGGACGGTGTGTGAGCTCCTGAGGACGGGGACTCCCCTCCTGGGTCCCCTGAGGTGGCTCCAGCCTTAGTTTTTTTTTTTTTTTTTTTTTTTTTGAGCTGGAGTCTCACTCCGTCGCCCAGGCTGGAGTGCAGTGGCAGGCTCACCGCCACCCCCGCGTCGACCTGCAGGGCTCCGGTGATTCTTTACTCAGCCTTCCAAGTAGCTGGAACTACAGGCGTGCTAATTGTTTTCGATTTATGGTAGAGACGAGGTCTAATCATGTTGCCCTGGCTGGTCTCCAGCCCGTGGGCTCAGGCCATCCTCTCGCCTGGGCCTCCCAAAGTGCTGAGATTACAGGCCATATCAAGTATGGGAAAAGTAACTTTTAAAGAAAGTAAACACGTAATAATAATTACATCTTTAATATATTCATGGCGTACAGTGTGATGTATGTTTATAAACACTGTGGAATGATGAAATCAAGCTGATCAAATCCATCACCTCACATATTTACTTACTTGTGGCGAAAACATTTTCTTTTTTACAAACTTAATTTTAATTCCTTGAATACTTAAAATTACATCGTAAACTTAACATACTTGTTCTTAAGTCATTCAATTGTGTAACAAAACAGTTTAAGGAACTCCATATGTGAAATGTATAAATTGGTGAATATTAGGTTCTCTTAAATGTTCCGATACTGTCTTTAAACTTCGTAAAATTTTCTTTTCTTTTTTTAAGTTGAAGTCTTTCTGTCACCCAGGCTGGAGTGCAGTGGCACACTCACTGCTACTGCCCACTGCTACATGCTCAGGTGATCCTTCTACCTTGACCTTTCAAAGCAGCTGAGCCAAAAAAAAAAAAGTGTGCACCACCACACCCTGGCTAATTTTTTGATTTATTAGAGACAAGATCTCACCAAGTGGCCGAGGCTGGTCGCCAACCTCTGGGCTCAGGTGACCCTCTTGCCTTGATCTCTCAAAGTGATAGGATTATAGGTGTGAGGTACTGCACCTGGTCATTTTTACTAAGAAAATTTAGTAGAATTTTCTTTCTTTTTTTTCTCAACGATTTATTAAGATCAATTTCAAACATGTAAAAGTTTAAAGAGTAGTATAGTGAACACACATATACCCTGTGTTTAATTCAACAATTGCTAACTAATATTTTGCCACATTTACTTTATTTTTATGTATTTTGGAGGTAAATTTTGATTATAATTTGTAAGTTTCATAACACTTCATCCCTGAATACTTCTGCATGCTTCATTTAAAAATAAGGACTTCCTTTTTTATAATTATCTTATCTTAGGAAGTTAACAGTAATTTCATAATATCATTAAACTACCGTTCATACTCAAACTTCAACTGTTGTTACCAAATGAGGTCTACACAGGAGCCTATATTTCCCCCTACCCCTTTTTTTTGCTAAATTCACATGTGGCATTTGGTTGTTATTTCTCATTAGTTTTTCACAACATTGATTCAGTACAATTTTCTCATATGTTAAAGTCAGAAGCCAATAGATAATTCAGTGACATACTATAAACTGAAATCATAAAGCAATTCTGTTTGATTTGCTTACATACTAAATTCTGCCAAACATTACAAGTATTCTAAATACCAAGCACACTTGTTATTCCTCTGCTTACCACAAATATACAAAAGCAATAGGTTTGAATTAATCAGTTGCCATAATTTACTCTTTTATCTTTATTCTTAATTCCAGATCTTCCTGAAATTAAAATGGGCAGATGAATGCTCCTTGGAATTTCCTGATAGGAGCGTCTTTTCATAGAATTTGAACAGTTAGCACCCTACTGCTACTGATATCTTAACTGGTGGAAGCTAGCTAGCTTTTTATGACTAATTGACTATGGCTGTTGGGGTATTTTTGTTTTTTGTTTTTTTCTGAGTGCAGTGACACAATCATGGCTCACCACAACCTTGAACTCAAGGGCTCAATTTATCAAACCATCCTCCCTCCTCTGCCTCCCAAGTAGCTGGGATACAGATATGCTACAGGTCTCACAGCTTGTGCCCAGGCTGGTCTCAATCTCTTGGGCACAAGCAGTCCTCCCATCTCAGCCTCCCAAAGTGTTGGTATTACAAGGCAGGAGTCGCCACTCCCAGCTATTTGGTTTTTCTGTTTTGTTTTTGCTGTTGAGTTGAGTCCCTCGCCTATTCTGGATATTAGTCCCTTGTCAGAACAATAATTTGGGAATATTTACTCCCATTCTACAGGATTGTCTCTTCATCTTTCGATTGTTTTCTTTACTGTGCAGAAGCTTTTTAGTATAACGTAGTCCCATTTATCTATCACATCATTGGTTTTTATTGTATAAGCATCTTATGGTGATTTGTCTCCTTTTTTGTTGTTGTTTTTTGTCATTTTCAAATTTTATCATAATATTATTAATGTTTATAATAAAATTACTTTAAAAAAAACTGTTTAATGTTGTTTTCTTCTTTGTTTTCTACTCATTTTTTCTGCCATTTCAAGAGCTGTCAGCGTCCATGCTGCATAATATTTTTATAAAACTGAAATTTCAAATAGACGTGCTGAGTCATGTTCCCAGCCTAGTTTTTACACATTGTTACATGTTGAGCTACACTAAATACTCTTGAAATATATCTGGGAATAAAATTTTATTTTCCTGAGCCTACAAAAGGAGTAATATTATAATGTTATTCTATTTGTAATAAAGATGAGGCTAAAATTGTAGGTAGGGGAATGCTGGGGAGTGGAGCTGGCTGGCTGGGTGGTGAAGGAATCGAGAATTGCACTTTAGATGCCTTACATTTAAAGCAAAGCAGGCCCAAAAGTGAATCTCATGATGGTAGAGGTTAGAATGGTAGTTACCAGAGCCTAGGAAGGGTAGGGTGAGGGAGAAGAAGAGGAGTTGGATAATGGTACAAAGATATAGTTAGATAGAAGGAACACCTGCTAGCATTTGATAGTACAGTAGGATAATTACAGTTCACAATTACTTATTGTATATTTCAAAATAGCTTGAAGAGAAGACTTGTTCCCAACACACACACAGGCAAATGTTTGAGGTGATGATTATCCCTTTAACCCTGATTTTATCATGACGTATTGTATACATGTATGAGAATATCAAAATTACCCCCAAATATGTACAACTATGATATATCAATTAAAAAAGTGGCTGGTGAGCCACCACACCAGTAATCCCAGCACTTTGGGAGGCCAAGGCAGGAGGACTGCTTGAGCCCAGGAGTTCAAGATCAGTCTAGGCAACATAGCAAGTCCTCTACAAAATAGTCAAAAAATTAGCTGGGTGTGGTGGCATGTACTTGCAATCCCAGCCATTCAGGAGGCTAAACCAGAAGGATCCCCTGAACCCAGGAGGTTGAGGCTGCAGTGAGCCGTGATTGTGCCACTGCACTCCAGCCTGGGCATCAGAGTGAGACCCTGACTAAAATAAAATAAAGCAAATCATGCCACTAAATGGCATTGTCATGTAGGCAGTTAGATGGCGAATCAGGAGACTGGAGAGGATCAGGAAGACCTTTTGGGACTCTTAGCTTATAAATAGCAGGAAAGTTATGAGACAGGATGAGGCCACCCAAAAGAGAGCACAAGGAGTGGGGGAGGGGGATGAGAAAAGAGGCTACAGCCAGCCCTAGGAGTCAGCCTTAAGAAGCTATGTGTGTGAGGGACAGACTCTGGAGAAGAACAGCATGAGAGGAAGGAGACAGACTAGGAGAAGTGTAGCACTGAAGGGCCTGGAGAAGAATGCAGAGTGAGGACATGGTTAGGTAAATGGGATGCAAAGGTCAAGTAAGGGAAAACCAGAGAGTGTGTTATTGGGATTTGCACTATGGAGGTGTTAAGTGGCTCCAACAAGAATAGCTGGGGGAGTCAGCACAGAAGCTGAGTTGGGGTGGGTGTGAGGACAGATGGGTGGGGGGCAGTCAGTTGCTATGGACAGCTCTGATGAAGGATCGTTTTGAGGTGAGTGAATAGAGAATGGTGTTGGCAGTAGCAGAAGGATGAAGACTAAGGCGCTGGTGTTCTGGAAAGGGATACATGGTCCACCTTCTGGAAAACCAAAGCCTTCATTTGTAGTAATATACGAGATATGACAATTAAGTTTGCAAACTCGTCCTAGAAAAAATACTACCTACCTCATTGCTGAATATCAGTATGGTCACCTTTGAAGGACTTCTCTTGAGAAGCTGTGCACCGATGCCACTGCCTAATCCACCTGTCAAAGCAATCTTGGAACTCTTTCTCTGGAATAGCCATCAGAGCTGTCATTGTATTACCCTTGATGTCCTGAATGTCATCAAAATATCTCCCTTTCAATATTTCCTTTATCTTTGGGTCAAGAAAAAAGTCACTGGGGACCAGATCAGGCTAATAGGGAGAATGTTTAAATACAGTTATTTGTTTACTGGCTAAAAACTCCCTCACAGACAGTGCTGTGTGAGCTGTTGCATTGTTGTGATGTGAGGACTTTTTCGGGACCATTTTTGCACACAGTTTACTCATGCCAAGATTTTTCTGTTTCTTTATCAATGTTTATTTGGTCTACTGTGTTTCTCACAGTCAGTTGGTGATTTTGATGCACAATTCGATGAATTTTTGCAATGTTTTCATCAGTTCTGCTCATTACTGGCCATCCTGGCCTCTCTTCAT